CCCGAGCCCCCGGCCCACCCTCCGGCCTTTCCGCCCCAGCGCTCATGAGCCTGGTGTCGGGGCTGCTGCAGCCCGCCCCCGAGCGGCGCACCACACTGGACACGCTGCTCACGGACCCCTGGGTGACACAGCCCGTGGACCTCGCCCGCTACACCTGGGAGGAGGTGTGCCGCCTCCACGAGCCAGGTGGGCCCCGGGGCCCTTGCCTGTCCCGTTGCAGCCCTGGGCTCCCCCCGGGGGGCCGGGGCAGCAGGTGGCCGAGCCCCGACACGGACACCCGTCTTCCAGGGAGCGGAGTCCTGTACCCCGTGAGCCCATGAGCCAGGGCGCCGGCCGGCCGCCCGGATTCCGACCTCCCTGTGAAGCCGCACAGGCGCCCGCCCCAGCGCTGCCTGGGCCCCTGCTGGGGGGCAGCCTCCGCTGGGGGGTCGCAGCCCCTCCCCCTGCCGGCTGTGAAACTGCTCGTTTTCCAGATTAAAGTTCCTGCAGCCAGCGGCACCCAAGTGTTCCTCGTGGGGGGGTGGCAGTGGCGCCTACTCTTTGTTTCTGCACCCCCACTTGCCACAGCCAGAGAGAGGGCGGGCTTCAGTCAGGCAGGGGGTCCCCCCACGTTCTGACACGGCTCAGCTGCCAGGAGGGGTGCTCTGGGGCTCCCCTTTGTGCAGCGGGCTAGTGGTGGGTTGCAGGCGCCGCCCCTGCGCCCACAGGGCAGGGACCGCACACCCCCTCCGGCCCAGGAAAGGCCAGCCACTCCACGGGGAGGGGGCCAGGGACGCGCTCCCCCACTAGGTGTTGGGGCGCTGCCCAGGCCGTTTTAACCAAAAACCTACGTGGATGGCAGGGCACCCCCTTGGTCAGGCCGGGCCGCCTGCTCCCCGGAAGTCCCAGGCCCGACCACCTCGGGCAGTGCCCTTGCCTGCCCGTGGCCACGCTGCCCCGAAGTCGGGGTTTGCTGCCAGAGCCGGGGGTGGGGGGTGGTGCAGGAAGAAGCTCCCTCTGCCTCTGCGGGGGCCCCCACGCACCCGGGGCCGCTGGCTCCAGCCCAGCAGCAGGGGCGGGAAGCCCGCAGCCGCAGCCGGAAGGTCGGGCCCCAATCCGCGCTGC